CATTCATTCTCCCTATATATATTCTGTATGATACTTTATTGTACCTTAGCTCTAATATTGATTTGACCACGACTCCCAAGTCCTGACACCAGCAAGGCAACCCCAGTAAGTCTGAAATGAGGGCCAAGAGACAGCTAGGGGGCACAGCGCTCCTTTAGAGTTGCTGAGGCCAAATGCCCTAACCTTGGGCCTTGTTCACGGCATCACAGCCACCGCGGCCTATAGTGGCCCGCTGACGGCAACCTTCGGTGCCGACCCCAGACCAGTGTCTAACACATACACATGATAGGCAGAGAAAATACCATGAGAATCCTGTGTATCCTTTTGAGAATCTGATGTGCTTTGATGGCCCTGTGCAGGAAGATGGCTGAACGGTGCTGATTATTGAACTTGTAGTATAAATGAACCAAAAATGGCCAATTCTGTTTGCATTAACATAATAAGGGGAGGCTCTGTTGCTTGGACACCTGTTCTATGACCCCAAGACAAGAAGTAATGGATGCATGAAGTGAATAAGGAAGAGATGAGCGTGGTCGACTCATCAGGTGCTTGAAACTCCCAAATTAAGGAACCTATAAATAACTATCAACAACTTCACACATATCACTTGTGCCCAGGGGCATGGTTAGCGATGCCAAATTCTTCGCCCATGGAAATATGGTCGCAGTAAACCTGATAGTATTTCAAACGTCATGCCATCCCTTCTCACCATAAGTTGACTGCTGGAAGGCAGAACCCATCCCATTTTCAAAACCGACACCTAAAAACGGTCAACCCAACATGACAACTCAAAAGTGGAGCAGCATTTGGGCAATGCCTTATCAGAGAGATTAAGGACACCCGAATCGGACTTATTTCTTTATTTTCTCACCTTATTTTTGTGTATTTATCTCGACCCCTGCCCTTGGCACTCTCACGAGCAGCCTACAGTTTGCAGGTTAAATATCCAGAATAAACAACAACAATCACCGTTGAAGGAGAGAATGGAGGAAGGTCAGTTGGGAGGTTCAAACGAGACCACCACCAAGCTGTTCCCTGGTTCTTTAGTTAGGATGGGGAAGTGTACTAGTAGTATTTGTTGTAAATATAGTACCAATCCGAGTGTTTTGGCTAATTCTATTTTTTATGGGTTAGTTTTAAAGTTCCTGGGAATTGACTTACAGATAAACCGAGCCCTGTGGAGCTGTTTCTTTATTGAAATTTCTTAATTTGTCTAGGTGTAATTCTGTGTAGCGTTGTTTAATTTGGAAATTAACTTGAATTAAATCTTCTACTTGGTGAAGTTTTAAAGATTCTATTCAGTTAATGGATTTGGATTGTGTCTGGAGTTTGTTTTATTTTTGTCTTATTTTATTGCTTGTTTTAACAGTAGCAAGATAACTGTTTTGTGTTTACACTTTTGAAATCTGGAGTGTTAACCAGCTCTCCTGTTGAAATATCTACTTAATATTTCTCTCCTTAATTGCTGCCTTTTACTACAGTGGCAATCTTAACTGTATATCACTTTTTCGCACTGGAGTGACAACCAGAAATGCTTGAGAAAAATAATACTCTATTTTCTTACTTCTCTAAGGGGGGGCGAAAAGTCGCAGAAAGGGTCTCCCTTTTATACTCCTTGGGTTGCCTTCCTTTTTCATGCTCTACCTTCTATTTACAGGATTTATTTACAGTGTATTTTTCTCAAACTGAATAAAAGATGAAATTTTCACGCTATAGTTCTACTGTGCTTTGCTGTGCTGAACTGCGGTTCTACTGCAGTCAGACTGTGCCTAGAATCCTTATTGTCCACCCTCACCTAAGCTATTTTAGAACTTGGCTGCGCTGCATTTGTTGCAGTTACCTATTTCAAATTCCTTATATGTACCATTAAATTTGCTATGACTTGGCGATTCTGAATTCAAACTTCGCATTACTATGCGTATGGCTGTGCTGAGACCTTCAGCTAATTTATTCCATTTTTATTCAGTGACATTTAGTTAAAATGAGACTGAAATGGTAAATGAGTGAATTATTCAGGTTTAAAACCAAAAAAAAAAGTTGCTAGTAGTCAAGAATTACTCAAATGAATGTATTATAGCTCTCCACTTCATTAGAATATCGTTCCCTAAAATTCCCGCCATGGTCTGTCATAGTTTTAGTGGTTTTCATGAATTTCGTTCATATTCCCTGATTCCCCTTTGTATTATCACATCCTAATCCTCCATATGTATTGTTCGTTGTTATAGTAGGTCGTCCTCGAAGATATCATATTTTTATGTATTTTATTTAGGGCTCTGGACCTCTTGAAGCTGTCTTCCAGCGCGTTTTCAGGTTTCTAACTTCATGTCCTTGTATCTCATTCATTTCTGGATGTTTTCTCACGTTCTTGGTATCATAAATTTCCATTTATTCCCGCCTTTCCAATGGTACTAAAGTTGTGTTCTATTTCCTGGTATTCGTTGAGTTAGCAAAAGTTCGCGCACACATTTGGTAATCACGTGCATCGTTCCCATAGTCGTTCATATGCGGGCGCTGTTTCCGTTTAATTGTTCGGGATTTATGATATGCGCGGGTGTTTATATCTTTCATATGGGCTTCTGTGATTTATTTCAGATTTTTCCCCCATAATCTAAGGTTGTTTTGCACTTTCTGTGCTTTGTTTTGACCGGGCTCTTCCTTATTTGGACAGAAATTGGTCTTCGCGATCCACCGAAGTGCGGATCTCAGTTCCAACAGCTGGTTCCCTTCACATCGCCACCCTCACATGTCATTAAACATGATGCGGATTTCTATATTCCCGTCATGGGTATAACTTCACAACGGCTGGACCGTTTGGGCTGAAAATTTGCATAACTATAGTTTCCCATTTTTCATAATTTACGTGTAAATTTCGTTGTATGTTTTAATTATGGATCCTATGAAAACATCGTCTTTTCCCTGAGCTCGGACTTTTGATGTTGCTATTCCCGTTATTGGATATCTTATTAATGCATGATCCTTTTATTATGAAAATTTGGGTGGATTAAGATTAGATCCCTTCCTTTCTAATGGGCTATCAAGGTTGTCTCGGTCGTAACTGGTTAGTCTTCGCGCTTGCTTTTTAGATGTTGTCCTTGTTTTTCAGGAGTTTTAGTCATATCTCTGTCATTTATGGGTAGTTTCCCCTGTAATTACTTTCATTGGGTCCGTTTGGGAGACATCTACATTTCCTATCATAAACACGACTTTGAATTTTGCATTAGTTCCTGAGGAATCCTTGTTCCGTGGTACTTCCATCCTTGGCTACGTGTGCGGACGTGGGAAAGTAGCTTCCGTGGAGGTTCTCTGATTGTTTTTATAGTCAAATCTTGGTCAATTGTCCTAACTCTTTGTTTAATATTTGCTATAAATTTCCCTGAGAATTCCGTCTCGTTGATGCTAAGCTTGAAATATTTTTGCTAATTTTCTTTCTTTCGATTTATCGTGTATAGTCATAATAATTCGTAAAAATTCATTAAAATTCAGGTCCTTCTTTTTGTCTCATATCTACTTGTCGTATGAGGTTTTGTGATTTATCTGGCATATTTCCATAATGGGTTTCCATAGTGTGACCGTTATTTCTCCTACATCGTAAGTTTATACTCGCTTTTTTGGTATAAATACTGAGAGATGCTACATTTGGTGGCCATGAGACGTGGTAATACAGTGCAGTCGATCTATCAAACATGGGTCGTGCCTAAACTGGGGAAGGCATAGCGGAACACCAATGGGCAGTCATAATAAAATTCGATGCAGCAAAATTCGGTTGAATCATAAAGTGTGAGAAACAGGCAGGAGTAAGCTAGGATCTGACTTAAGCTTAAGAGTGGACCAAGTGGCTGCACGGCATTCGACCTCCAATGGACTTGGGCTTCATCACAACAAATTTCGTGCGTCTTGTAATGCCTAAATTATAAATGGGTTTCAGTTAAGGCAGGAACAAGTTCGCATCCTGTCGGGGTCGGGGAACAGATGTTGATTGCCTGTGAATGTTCTAATGTTTCTAATACATTGGTCGAGTTTCCAGCTGCGAGAACTTGGGATGTATCGCCAAAACATCAGGACAAGTCCTGCAGGCGACAGTGACTGCAAGTCTCAGAATGAAAGCCACCCTGCTTTGCTAGCGCTTTGTCCCATCGCTACACGTTCGTACAAGTCCTTCGATCCTGGGTTTGAGTCAAATAATGGGGGAAAGCTGTTAATCTGCTATGTGTGATCTGCTTATGTCTCGTGGTCATCATATCAAATGTAGGTGGTCATGTATCCTGGTAACTACTTGCCCACTACGACATGATATACTAGCTAGTGCTGCTCTACTGGATGTCGTTCATCAACGACGAAATCCAGACATAATGTGCACTTCCAGGTGATTCCCTAAGCTTGAAGATTCTTCCCACTACAACTGATCTGTCCTCTGCCGAATATTTTTTGTTCAGTAAGCAAGATAGTGAATAAGGTTGGTCCTAACCCTGGAATGGACCGGCTCCGCGACCGTGCGCCACCTGGATCATAATTAGGAAGTTAATGTCGATCTTCGTGAATCGATTATGTAACAAGAATTAACACTCTAGATTGAATGAAGAAGCGCGCTAATGTAGCGACAAATTAACGCCGCTTGCCCTGTTACTTAATATCACTCGGCACGAAATCGGCATGATGATCGCTACCCAATGTTGCCAGTGTCTATTGGGGACTGATCAAGGACAACCTTGCTTGCATACGCTCTCTCTTTGCCCCCAGACTCGTCCTACTTAATTCCAGAAGCTACAGTTTCGGATATGATTGCGCCAACATACTTTCAAGATCGTTACCTTGGCCGATGGCACTTGCACTCGATCTTGGGGTACATAGGTTGGCCCAGGAAGCGAAATGACGCCTACCTCTGTCTGGAGCATATATTCACCGTTTCCAGCACTGTCCCTCTATCCGGAGAATCAGCGTTTCGGTCAGGGTAATTCACGATCTGGGCAAACCCAATAAGGGGGACCATTTCCTTACCCCTTTGTCCTTTTGAATGACGGTGACGCCGGGATTATTCCTTCATTCCGTGAATTTCTGGCTTGTCAGAACAGTAGTGGGAATGGAACATTCAACCAGGAAAAATGGTTGAGACGAAAGAGGACCTCGTGCGATATTCCCGAATGTGGGAGACCCCCAAGCACGCGTTTGGGTTGAGAGTGTTGCAGCCTAAGCCATCCCCCTTTTCGCTCATACCGGTATCAGCATTTGGCTTTTCCCTTGGGCTCTTAAGTCAACGCCGTTCAGCTTGTTTTCCGTATTAGAGCGGTTTTATCTCAAGACTGCTTCTGACCAGCCACCTCCTTACCACTCAGTTGCTGTTAACCCAGGAGCATATGCCCCAAAATTGGCCAACTCGCTCAAGGATCTACATAATGCTCTTACCAATCTCGGACGTCATTCTGAGGCACAAATGGTCCAGATTTGAGCATGTTCTCCTCGTCATTGCATCGGCCACTTTACTGCCTGCACATGGCAGGCAAGCTTAAATTGGTATATTCAGCTCGAGAACACCAACAAATCCAACCTCAGTTTTTTGATTGCAAACCATTGATAAAATATTTACAGAGTTCGCTAGCCACGCTACACCCATAACAAATCACAGTTGCATCTTTCAATTCTAATATTGTATTCATTTCTTTCTCTAACACATTTTCCCTCGCATCGCTCATCGCTGATGTACTGGTCTATGTTTCTGCATAACCGATGACGTCGAGGTTTGGATCGATCGATGATGCAAATTGGTTGAGACGAAGCACAAGTTGATTGGCAGTCGAACGCGACCACTTGGTCCTGTCAGAACCGTGCGAATCTTCGCCGATGGTAGCCGTAGGCGACCGAGCGTTGCCCGCTAGTGGAATAGGCGTCCTACACATGACCGAGCTTTAGCGAGGAATAAACCCCACCGATCTCGAGGCCGAGGCTACTTAGGCAAGTGAGCCGGGATTTCGGCTTCAACGACTCGAGGAGGAGCATTGCGCCTCGTTCTCGACGTGGTCCCGATACTTCAGAAAGTCGGAGGTCTCACGGGTGTCATGACCGACAAATCCCAGGGCTCCATCAGCGGCAAACCAATGCCGATAGGCGAATCCGCCGACCCGAAACCCATCCTAACCAGCCCCCAACCCCATGTCTGGCCCCCTGCCTTACTGCGTGAGACTTGGCCAAGAATCAGAACCTAGACCCTGCCGGTATTCCGACCTTACCTCCAGTTCCTGAGCCCTTGGCGCTCCCGGCATTCAGTCACGCCTGCCTTGTCTCCATCTGAACCACACTCATCGCTTCCCGCTATGTGGTCACAGCCATGCCCCGCTTCCGTCCACTCCGCACCCTCTGCCCATCTCTGCACCTTCTGGCCACTTCTGGTTGCCCTTGACACCTCTGGTCAGGTCAACACTCCCACTCCCCTCTGTACCTCTGTTGGCCTTCATGCTGTCCTTGTGTGACAGTGCTGGCAGATCAACTTCTGTTCGCGGACTTGTGTCGGCACCGCACCGACCCCGCTTATTTGCGGACTTGTATCGGCGCCGCACGCTGACCTCCGCTTTTCCTCTGGCCATTTGTCACTTGGCAGCTTATCATTCATTCCTTGCCGAGTGCCATTTATTGTTTGCTTCCCTGCCAATATCGGCATTTGATCCCCTCTTTATTGGCACTAGGTTATTGATCTCATTCAGTTATTCATCAATAACCCTTGCCACTTATTGTTTAGTGATCTGTTCCTCCTTTCCAGTTCCCGGGCTCTTGTCCTTATTTAGTTTGACAATCCCCGCTTATCTCCGTGCCGGACCACGCCGGACTGACCGGCCTTTCTATATTCCCTCTTGCCTATTTATATACCTTGTAAATACTTTTGGGGACCTCAGTCTGAAATCAACTAGAGTACCCCCCCTGTCTGTTCTGAGCCTCTCCTTCTGCAAAGGGGGCTTCTCCCCCCCCTGAGTCCGTGCTCGCGGAGTCCGCGCTCCTCCTACAGGTCTGCTCCGCCCGCAAGTCTTGTTTGAAGTCCGCTGTGAGTGTCAATCCATAAATACGGGATCTCCCCCAAACGTCAAGCTCAGGGCACAGCGCTCCACCTGAGTCGCTGAGGCCGCAATCCCACTCTGCTAACCTTGAACAGCGCTTCCGGACGCGCCGCATAGTTCCGCCCGCATATCCGCGCGTGCGCGCTCCAACAGACCTCTGCATCACCTCCGACTCCAACAATAATCCAGTCTCTGACAATATTCCAGATCTCTGACAGTATTTCAGACTCTGACAACGGGGGACAGAGATAAGCTTAGGGGGTGAATTCTAGTTGATTTCGAACTACAGTACAAGCATTAGTTACAAGCTGTATATAAGCGCTAGGAAACTGAATAGGGAATAAGTCGCCAGATCTCGCGGAGATTGCGGGCGGAGAAAAGAAGGAGGAAAACAAACAAAGAGCACGTGTTCAAGACAGCGAAGGTCAAGCGTGACCTTCGCCGCAAGGTAACAAGGTGCGGCAAAACATGGGACAACAGGTCGCGGCACTCTGCGCCGCTAGGTCGTTCAACGACAATCAAGAGAGGGGTTGTGGAGAGGTGGCGGGAAGTGGTTAGACGGCGACGGGCGGCGAGCGGAGTGTGCAGGGAGTGTTCGGGCATGGGAGAGGGTCAGGGAGGAGGTCGTCTGGCCCCGGGGAACGCCGGGTCGTGACAGGTCCACAGATTCTAGCTTACCGTGCGCTGTTAATTCCAAACACTTTATGGCCCAACCGAATTTCGCTCACTCGAATCCTATGATGACTGCCCATTGGTGTTACACCATGCCTTCCAAGTTTAGTTTTGATCTGCACTGTATTACCACATCTCGTTGCTACCAAATGCAGGTGGCGTGCACATGGTCCTGGTAACTACTTGTGCAACTACATGACTAGTGCTACTGGATGTCGATCATCAAACGACGAAATCCAGACATGATGTGCACTTCCAGGTGATTCCCTACCTCGAAGACCCTTCCCGCTACAATCGACTATCTTCTCCTGCCGACAATGTTTGTTCAGTAAGCGGGACAGTGAATAAGGCTGTTGGTCCTAACCGTGACCGTGCGCCACCCGGATCATAATTGCGAAGTTAATATGTCGATCTTCGTGAATAAGTCGACATGAATTAACACTCTAGATTGAATGAAGCGCGCTGATGCAGCACGTATGTCAGCAGAGATGGAATGCGATAAATTAACGCCGCTTGCGCCCCGTTAATATTGCTCGGCACGAAACCGCTATGATTATTGCTACGCGATGGACCCGGATTACCTCTTCGTATACACGGACGGCTCCTTACACCTAAGAGAGAGGCAAACGGAGGATCGGATATGGCTTGGTTGGTTACGTGGCCGGCAGACCTGTAATTCGAAGGAAAAGGAGCCCTAGGGGAACATCGGCCAGCGAACTCCGCCCGGAATAGGTTTGTGAACAGATAAAATCTCGTGCTTGAGGGTCGTTTCTCCGGGGATAGAACTTTCGCATGAAGTTCCGAAGCAGGGCACGCTATAGAGTAGCAAGAATGAATACATGGCATTGGTTCCAGCGAGTTGTGACACGAATTTCTATGCCAGAGATAGAACGTATGGTATCCGAAAGGTACTCGTCAAAGCGAACCAAAGATGTCATCAATCTCGTCTTTTTCTCGGTTCCTTTTATTCTTCTTGGTTTCTAATTTCCTAGCCTTCTTCGATGCACTTTCCGCTTCCTCAGTAAAGACCACAGAGGGGCTGTCTGAGTAGATACCCCCACGGGGTCCCTGATAGAGTGGCCCCGATCGATGAGCGCCTGAGCCAGTCTTCGACGAGGGCAACATGGGGCGCAAGTGTTGTTTCATTGGTACTGTGCCCGGTGGGCACCCGTCTTTGCTGGGAACAGAGGTGGTAGCCTCAACCGTTGCGATTCCATTAAGATTGTCAACGTCCTTGGTCGACTTGGGAATCACTTTTCCCGCATCCTTCGCGTTCGCCCCGAGATAAGCATAATAAGAGGCTTAAAAGGATTCGGGCGGTCAGGGGACTGATCTGATTGGGGAAGCTTCATGGGTCGCACTGAAAAACAAATCAGACATAGATGAGGGATGAGAGAGATCTCACCGACCCGAAGAACCCTAAAAGTTGAATAAACTATTCCCATATTGCGTCAAAAGCGCTCCTAAGCTCTACACATACCATAGGTACTCAGCTAAAAATGGCCACCAGCATCGATGTTTGAGCGCGGAATGTTTTTGTCCCATGCTGTAGTTCAGAGAAGCTGGGAACATAGAGTCAGCTACAAAAACTGTTCATCTGGACAGGAAATGCGCACGTATAAGCATTTCGTAAAACTGTCATGGCCTGCATTGGCATTAGCATTAGAAACCAAGAAATAAACTGGACCGAGACGGTACCTTATTCAAGGGCAGGCATAATTCATGAATGGCGTGCAGAGAGGACGGAAGTAGGCGCTTGGGAGGAAGATGTGTCCAGGAAATGCTTTGTTTACTGGTCTATTTTAACAGGTGTGGCCACGATGGAGGCGAAGCAAATTGCAGGGCAACCTTTTAGAGTCCACGAAAAAAGATGCATGCACACGATAGGTAGAGACAAGCCCACAAGAATCCTGTGTATCCTTTTGAGAATCCGACGTGCTTCGACGGCCCTGCGTAGGAAGACGGCCGAACGGTGCTGATTATTGAACTTGTAGCATAAACGGCCAATTCTGTTTGCATGAACGTGATTAGGGGGCTTTGTTGCTCGGACACCCGTTCTATGACCCCAAGACAAGAAGTAATGGATGCATGAAGTGAATAAGGATGAGACGAGCGTGGTCGACTCATCGGGCGCTTGAAACTCCCAAATCAAGGAATCTATAAATAACTATCAACAACAAACCTGTCACTTGCCTGTCACTTCATTCTCTGGCGCCCACATGGGTAGCGATGCCAAATTCTTCGCCCGAGGAAAGATTCAGGAGTTCCGGAAGGTTTGATTGATTCTACATCGTCCCCGTACCAGAAACACATGTGAGAATTAGGAGCTCGAAGAGGCCGAGTCGACAAAGGACAAGAAATTCATCAAGCGAAAGACGGTACTCAAGAAGATAGTAGCCAATATCACTATGGGGAATGACAGTGAGCTGGACAGTTTGCTTGCGGCTTCTTCTCCTGCTTCTGCTGACGGTTTGTGAAGTGTCAGCACTCTTCCCCGACATCGTTCGATGCATGCCGATCCAGGTGCTGGAAATCAAGAAAGAGTACGAGGTTCATATAAACTTCACGTACTTCCTCCTATCATCATTGAATTGGACGCCAATGCTCATTCTAGTGGCTTATCTTTTCCTTGTGAGCTATGGGTCGCAGTAAACCTGATGGTATTTCAAACGCCATGCCATCCCTTCTCACCATAAGTTGGCACTTTTTTAGTATAAATACTGAGAGATGCTACATTTGGTGGCCACGGGACGTGGTAGTACAGCGCAGTCTATCAAACACGGGTCGCTCCTGAACGAGGGGAACACCAATGGACAGTCATCATAGGATTCGAGGCAACAAAACTCGGTTGGATCTGATCATAAAGTGTGGGGAACAGCGGTATACTATATAAGAATCTGACTCAAGTGGACCAAGTGACCACGGCGTTCGACCGCCAATTGACTTGGGCTTCGTCTCAACGAATTTTGTGCGTCCTGTAACGCCTAGGATGAATTATAATGTTTCTAATACATTGGTCGAGTTTCTAGCTGCGAGGGGAACTGGGGATGTATTACCAAAACACCAGGACAAGTTCCGCAGGCGACAGTGACTGCAAGTGCCAGGATAAGAGCGACCCTGCCTTGCTAGCGCTTTGTCCCATCGCTACACGTACAAATTCTTCGATCCCTGGGTTCGAGTCAAATCATAGGAGAAAGCCATTAGTCATGAATCTACGTCTCGTGGCCACCAAATGTAGGTGGTCATGTATTCTGGTAACTACTTGTCCACTACGACATGACGTGCACTCCCCTGGTGATTGATTCCCTACCTTGAAGACCCTTCCCGCTACAGCTGACTGTCTTCTCCTGCCGAATATGTTCGTTTAGTAAGCGGGACAGTGAATGAGGTTGGTCCTGACCCTGGAATGGACCGGCTCCGCGACCGTGCGCCACCCGGATCATAATTAAGAAGTTAATGTCGATCTTCGTGAATCGATCAACATGAATTAACACTCTAAACTGAATGAAGAAGCGCGGTAATGTAGCGATAAATGGACGCCGCTTGCCCCGTCACTTACTTAATATTGCTCGGCATGAAACCGAACCGCCGTGATTATTGCTGGTCGGTGGTGTCTCTTGGCGTCTGAGCAAGGACAGCCCTGCTTGGCAGATATCCTTCCGTGCTCTTGTTCATGTTCAAAAGTGCAATCCTCAAAATCCCGCTTCTACAACGAGCTCAGACAATCCTTTTGCATACGCTTTCTCTTCGTTCTCCAACTTGCTCTGTTTCCGGAGGCAATAGTTTCGGATATGATTGCGCTACCATGTTTCCAGGCTCGCTACCTTGGCTGATGGTACTTGCACTCCCAGACTCTTTCGGCAACGAGGTGTCCCTTCTGTGCAACTGGACCATCAAATTTGTACGGTAAAACCATATTTCCACTCAACCTGGGGCCAAGGTTGGCCGGTGGTGTTAGGTGTTACTCACCGACGTACTCGCCATCACGGTAATTTGCTCTGTCATCATCCAGTCTTTCGGCTCTATCGGGATAAATTTCCTCAATAGTTTCTCCCTTTCATCTATGAATTCCTCACGTCGCTCGCCCGGTTAATGGATCGATCTGGCTTTTGGCTACCACCGCTACCTGCACGCGATGTCCATGTGCATCTATCGATGTCTAGGATCCTTGCCGATAAGACTCCTTGGCTCTGGGGCAGGAAGCGAATGTGAATGGGGGTGTATTTAGGGAGCCTGACATGTTATCTTTAAGTTCTAGAGGCTGGGCTTGTTGAAAGGAGCGGAATCAATTCATTTCTGCGAATCTCCGTATCATTGTGCTCGATACAGCAATCTGTCTGAAAGCGCAAGTGAATCGTCAAGAGAATCATGGACAGTAATGCGTGGCTTCGCCATCTCTTTACCTTGCAAAAACAAATACAGCTGGAAGAAGGACGTAATGCCGGCTCCACCAGAAGTCTAAGTAGCATCATTGCTAGCTTTAGATATCAAATGCCGCTGAGCGGGGCACTTAGCCGTCCACCGAGAGGATGTGACCCCGGTCATCCTCCATTTTCACGAAACTCAGAGTGGGGACCAGGGCCACAGATGTCGACAGTATCACGAACTCTTTTAGAGTGTAACCACCTTCCACCGCTTAATCCGGGGGACCATTTCCTATCCAGAACAACAACGGGCTATGTGGACGTTCTATCCGAAGAGCGTCATCTCTGACGTTAATCGAGAATAAGATGCTGGGATGAAAGTGGTCGGTCAGCAGGATCATTCACGTTAAAGAGCGAAGCGAAGCGGACAGCACCTATTCTTGTGCGGGTTTGCCGAAGAGGCATGAGAACATCGGGTAGGATAGGATGAAGGCAAGGGGGGTCGAAGCATGGAGGTTGATTACGAGTGGGTGGCGGAAGGCATAAGAGTCCGGGGATAGTTTGGCGCGGTGTAAAGATTGAGACGCAGGTACGCGAACATCCCGTTCCACCCAAACCATTTGCAAAACACGCTGCCCAGACACATGCGACCCGACGCACAGATGAATTCGAAATGGTTGTCCTGAGAAATTGACGTTTGAGGACCCGTTCCCAAGTTTCGTGGAGGAAAAGGAGGAAGATACGAATGAGCCTATGTTTCCAACGCAAGCACCTCAAAGCAGAATGGTGATCTAACAAAAATAAAAACCAGTTATATTCAGGGAAGGACCAGCAATGACGGCGATGAGACATCGGCGAAGTCCTTGTCATTGTCACAGTAAAATGCCATAGCAAATCAGTCGCCGTCGCTTTCCCTTACAAGTGTCCAGAGGTAACTTGACAAGAATTGTGAAAGGGCGAAGGGAGGATAAGAAAAAAAGTAGAACGAGACCGTTACGGAAAACGGCATAGTGAGGTGCACTGGGATGGCGGCGGGAAGAGACGAGGAAGAGACGAGGAAAGGGATAGATCACATCATCATTGGTTGAGCTCCTTGGACTGAAGTGAGTTGTGTGTGCACCTCAGTAAGAACCGGCGTCGCATTAACGGACCGCGGCTCAACTGCTGTGGGACCTTTCGACATTCAGTACACCGATAAAAGTGAAGGAGGCGTTCCTTCTCCTTCAACGCGCCCACTTGGTGTCGAGCGGTCCCGAGACACATTTCGGCAATTCTGAAATGTGTCCTGTGATCGCCGGTTGGATGTCAAGCTCGATTTCCAGACATTGTGAATACAAGACCCATGCGTGAGTAGGAATGCCACATGGAGACATGCATGGTTTGAACGTGTAAGGGGCAGGTTCTCCTGTGCGCACTCACACTTGGCGAATTAACAGGGATACGGGAATGGAGCGTCGCAACGAAACTGCGCTGGAGTATCTCAGCCAGAGTGAGCACGATCGTATGGTTGTGTCAGCTGGAGTCAAGCTTAGATGTTGACGAGCACCGTAAGGATTAGACCTGGAAGATTGACACGGTGATTGACATGGGTAGTAGGGGGAGTGTTAAATAAGATAAACTTCGGGCTAGGTGATTGCGTAGTCCTAGGTGGCCAGTGAAAACGAATGCTAATTGCTGCACCGTGGTTTGAAAGACGCCAGAATTTGGCGAAAGAGCATGTTGCGAGAGACTGTACCTGAACCTTAATTTCTGCGTCGGAGTTGGCCGAAGTCATTGATCTCGGTCCATTAGCCGAAGGGTCGCTTCCGTCGTAAAAGCATTTCTTCTCCTCATGGAGTATCGGAAACTGGTGCCACCGGTGTGTCGGCGCATCAACAAGGCCTGTCAACCAAATTGAAGCGTATCGCCGACTGTACACTCTTTATCGATCTCGATATGGCTAGTATACACTCGGATTCAGTGCCAAGTTATCCCGGTGGGGCATCCCTGTCTTCGAGTGGTTTAGTACCCTGTTAAATAGTTGAAACTATCCAAGTATAGGACAGTGTGTCTGAGGTCGTCATTCTCTACTCCACGATCCCGATATTTTTCTATTGTCAGCTTGCAGGTGTGTTTTCAGCTACGTGGTTGATAATGAGACCAGAGCGGTAACGTAACGACAGGTATCAAGCCTGATATATACCTATCCGCGGCCCATTATTGACGCGCGCAAAGCCGGCGCTCGGCCACTTACCGCATCCTACCAGTATAGCTGATTGCACTCCAAGACCCTGATGAAAAGCTAGACTGGATCCCCTGCCTCCACTGACATACGTCGCGTGCGCGTGACCCACCGGCGCTTACCGCCAGCTCTCTGTACGAATCGAGCGCAGTGACCAGGGCCTCCATATGACCTCCAATAGTTCATATCTAGTTCTTATTCCTAATCACATTCATCCTGCTTCCAGTTCTGGGGGGCATGATACTGGGTCATGCCACCGCTGGAATTCGCCGCTGATACTGGATCAGAGGTCCGTATGGTGTCGACCAAATAGTCAATGCATATATCATATTCTTCCTCAACCTTCCATAACAAGACGGAGGCCTCGTGGTTCTAGCTTCTGAGCGTTTAGGGGCTCACACGTGCGTTGCGCGCCCAAAGCTCTCTCCTCCATCTACTTGTCCGTTATCGACCATGTCGCTGCAGCAAGAGGCTGAAACTCCGAGGCAAAAGGCAAAAGATCTCCTCGCAGTGGGGGGTAACTTGGCGGTTTTAACTCTTAGAGGTGTCAATGCCACGGCTGATTGGTGTCCACCCCTGAAGAATGCGACTAGTGCTGCACTCTTCATCTACGACGAGGTTAACGTTGGTAATGATTATGCTCGTTTACGAGTGAAAGCTCACGCCGATTTGCGCCATGTAGAAGTTCAGGGAGAACGCAAAGGAATGGGCTGGTTTCGGTGAATACGTAGCGAGCACCATGGCCAACGTATCTTCAGCCATAAAGTCCGATGATGTATCAGCGGAAGAGGCAAAGCCATGGGTGGAAAGTGCCACAGAGCTTGATGGGTGAGTCTATCCGTTTTGGCGGTCTTCGATATCGTAGTTACATCAAGTCCCAGCGCGCTACAGAAGATTAAGTCCGAAATTGAAAGACGGGAAAAAGTAGAGAAACGATCGACTATCAGAAAAACATTCTCCTACTTGAGAGACCCGGGAAGAATTAACGACCTGAAGAAAGATTTTGACAAAGCATTGGCATCGTTTCAGGTAGCTTTCCTTACAGTATCCTTCCATAACCGTTCTGATTTCCGGCCGATGCAGGTTAGGACGAACTTGATAACTGGCGCCAAGTTAGCGGCCATAGAACGTCGTCTACACGAAGACAAAATTCTCGATAGTCTCCGATACCCTCATCTTGCTCATGATGATTCCACTCAGGCCTGCCTGGAAGACACTAGAGTTGATCTCATTGAGCGTATTATGGCATGGTGCCGCAACACTGGGGATAGGGAGAACCGGCTAATGCTGTTGACTGCTGTGGCCGGTGCTGGCAAGACTTCGATTGCACTCGCGATAGCAGAACGATGTGCCAGCGAAGGAGATGTTACCCTGTTACTGCGCTTCTTCTTTAAAGCGGGCGAACGGTCGCGGCCTGATTTTCTATTCAGCAGCATAGCTCGAGCTTTAGCAGACCATGATCCCGTTCACCGCACTTTCATTACCTCTGCTCTTCGAAACGACCCTAGTCTCTCAACAGCTTCATTTGCGATGCAGTTCAAGGAGTTGGTGGCTCCGTCTCTACTCCATAAACCTCCACCTTCCGATCGTCCTATGGTGATCATCATCGATGCTTTAGATGAATGTGACAAAGATGCGTTCGAGTCCCTTGCCGAAATTCTTGGGGAGGAAGTGCCCAGGCTACCATCTTCCGTAAAATTCTTCATCACATCGAGACAATTTGATCTCGTGAATCGCTACCTCTCCCCCAATTACCCCATTGATCGCCTCGCTATTGATCTCTTGGATGAGGCAAATGTGCGGGACTGTGCTAGATTCATACGCTTCCAGCTGCAAAAGCTAAAGAAGTTACATCAGGATCTACAGCGTGATCTTAAGGACGAGGATAAAATGGTGCAGGAGATCTCGGAACAAGCAAATGGGTTGTTTATCTGGATCAGCACCATCTTTCGCTACATGAAGATGACCAACCAGGATCCTATGGGGACACTAAAAAGTATGCTTGACACTGGTGCCAAACGACCAGAGGTCCCTGCTGAGAAGATGATGGAAGACTTGTATACAAGCATCTTGAAGAAGTGTGCTTGGGAGGTTGAAAAATTTGCGCACGATTACCCAATTGTGATGGGAGCAATCTTCGTTGCTCAGGAGCCTCTGTCCATCACAGCCTGGGACTCAATTTTGTCGCCTTTCCTCAAGTCTCCTGTTCGATATGCGTTGGCTGAACTTTCACCTCTGCTCTCAGGAGTTGAGGATCCCTACGTTCCGATTCGCATCTTACACCAATCTTTCCGCGATTTTATCGTCAATCGGATCGATCCCCAAACAATCAGCTCTCGTTGCACTCCCATAGCTGTGGGGGTGGAGAATGCCAGGGTCGCCCTGCGATGTACCGAGATTTTGAACAAGGATCTCTGCTCTGTAAAGGGCTTAGGACTGATTGAAAACTTGTCCGAAAAAGAAGACATGCCGCCCATTCCTCCATCGGAGTTATCTGAGCACTTTCGTTACGCATGTCACCACATCGTTCACCACCTAAATAGAATCAAGGAACCATCAGAGGAGCTTGCTGGGTCAGTTGGTTTGTTTCTGAGTCAGGAAGCAACTCGGTGGGTGGAAGTCTGTGTGCGGATGGAACGCTATGTCAGTATCTCATTACTCCCTGAGTGGACTAAGGTACGGGTTATGAATTGTGTTAAAGAAACTACCTCATGGTCTTCTAGTTGGTTGTTGACCACAGGGCTCTTAGTGCACTGGCTAATGTGCTTACCCAGCTTCCGCCGAATTTCGCATTTTTTTCAAGATCCCAGGAGGCATATGAGACAGCAAACGATTCTGCTGTACTCTGCCATTTTCTTTTTTCTGTGGACTCAAGTTCCTACACCTCGGATTTGGCCATATCACTCAACAATCTATATTATGCTCTTTCCAATCTCGGACGGCACTCGGAGGCACTCCCATTCATCGAAGAAAGTGTCAAACTCTACCGCCAGCTAGTTGCCGTTAACCCAGGATCATACACCCCGGATTTGGCCATGTCACTCAACAATCTACGTAATGCTCTTTCCAATCTCGGACGGCACTCGGAGGCACTCCCATTCATCGAAGAAAGTGTCAAACTCCAACGCCAGTTAGTTGCCGTTAACCCAGGATCATACACCCCAGATTTGGCCGGGTCACTCAACAATCTATATGATGCTCTTTCCAATCTCGGACGGCACTCGGAGGCACTCCCATTCATTGAAGAAAGTGTCAAACTCTACCGCCAGTTAGTTGCCGTTAACCCAGGATCATACACCCCGGATTTGGCCATGTCACTCAACAATCAATATTTGGCTCTTTCCAATCTCGGACGGCACTCGGAGGCACTCCCATTCATCGAAGAAAGTGTCAAACTCCGACGCCAGCTAGTTGCCATTAACCCAGGATCATACACCCCAGATTTGGCCATGTCACTCAACAATCTATATAATGCTCTTTCCAAACTCGGACGGCACTCGGAGGCACTCCCATTCATCGAAGAAAGTGTCAAACTCTACCACCAGTCAGTTGCTGTTAACCCAGGATCATACACCCCGGATTTGGCCATGTCACTCAACAATCTACATAATGCTCTTTCCAATCTCGGACGGCACTCGGAGGCACTCCCATTCATCGAAGAAGGTGTCAAACTCTACCGCCAGCTAGTTGCCGTTAACCCAGGATCATACACCCCGGATTTGGCCATGTCACTCAACAATCAATATTTGGCTCTTTCCAATCTCGGACGGCACTCGGAGGCACTCCCATTCATCGAAGAAAGTGTCAAACTCCGACGCCAGCTAGTTGCCATTAACCCAGGATCATACACCCCAGATTTGGCCATGTCACTCAACAATCTATATAATGCTCTTTCCAAACTCGGACGGCACTCGGAGGCACTCCCATTCATCGAAGAAAGTGTCAAACTCTACCGCCAGTCAGTTGCCGTTAACCCAGGATCATACACCCCATATTTAGCCGTGTCACTCAACAATCTACATAATGCTCTTTCGAACCTCGGACGTCATTCTGACACACAAATGGTCCACATTTGAGCACGCCCTCCTCGTCATTGCATTGCCCACTTTACTACCTGCATATGGCACGCAAACTTGAATTGGATATTCGGCTCGACATCAACCTCAATTTTTTGCAAACCATCGAAAAAATATTTACAGGGTTGGCCACGCTACACCCATAACAAATCACAGTCGCAGCTTTCAATCCTAATATCGTATCCATTTCCTTTAACAAATTTTTTCTCATTGGTGTTGTACTGATCTATGTTTCTGTATCACGGATGATGTCAAGGTTAGGATCGATCGATGATGCAAATTGGTTGAGACGAAGCCCAAGTTGATTGGCGGTCGAACGCCGCGGCCACCTGGTCCACCTAGCCAGATTCTAGCTTACCGCGCGCCGCTCCCAACACTTTATGACCCAACCAAATTTCGCTGTCTCGAATCCTATGATGACTGCCCATTCCTGGTTCAGGTACGACCCGTGTTTGACCAGCGCTATATTACCACGTCTCGTGGCTAGATAGATATGCATCGTCATGTCTCCTGGTAACCACTTGTGCACTACATGACCAGTGCTACTACTGGATGTCGTTCATCAAATGACGAAATCTAGACATGATGTGCACTTCCAGTGATTCCCTGCCTTGAAAACCTGACTGTCCTCTCCTGCCGAAAACTTTTGTTCGGTAAGCGGGATAGTGAATTAATAAGGTTGGTCCAACCCTGGAATAGACCGGCTCCGCAACCGTGCGCCACCCGGATCATAATTAGGAAGTTGATGTCGATTACTATGTCCATCTTCGTGAATCGATCAACATGAATTACTTAGCACTCTAGATTGAATGAGGAAGCGCGCTAATGGAGCGATAAATTAACGCCGCTTGCCCTGACACTTGATATTGCTCGGCACGAAACCGCCGTGATTATTGGTGTCCGATTTTGGCGTTCAAGTAAGGACAACCCTGCTTGGCAGATATCCTTGTTCATGTTCAAAAGTGCAATAAAACCCCACTTCTACAACGAGCTCAGTGGCAGACAATCCTTTGCATATGCTCTCTCTTCGCCCTCCAACTTGCTCTAGAGGCTAAAGTTTCGGATATGATTGCGCTGACATACATGCTTCCAGGCTCGCTACCTTGGCTGACGGCGCTTGCACTCCCGAACTCGTATGGCAACAAGAATGACCTAACAACACCTACGGATGCGCCAGCTCTCCCAGCTATTCGATGACCTGGATTATTCTGAAAGCCTTCAGTACCCTCCAATCTACCTGCTGTGCGCGTGATACTCGTGGAGGACCCAGGGAATGCCAGTGAAGTATTCGAGTATTCGACAGCGTCATTACTAAATCCAAAGGGCCACCAAGCCTGCTATTCCTATCCCAGCCTGTGCATCAAATTGGATACAGTATTACCACACGTTGCAAAGCAGACGCCGTTCCTCAGTAGTGACATCATAATCCCCTTTCCACAACACCACTATTCTTAAGTACTTTAGGTTTGACCGTGAACTCTCCTGCGATTGACACTACAAAGCCTCAAAGTCATTGCAGCCAATCTGTGTGGTCAGTAGCTTTGGTTCCTGAAATAGTATGGCGACTGAACACTGGAAGTGCATGCGTGTACTGAGCAAAATTAAGACGCCAACAGATCCACCACAATCTCTATACCCAATCTTCTCCCGCTATTGCTCCGGTCGTCATTTCGGAAAGCGGGGCTATAAAATTTGCTCTTATAGCTCGATGTGTGCAAGCAGCCGCGGATGAGATTAATGGTTACGAAAGCGGTGAAGCGGTCGCATTCGCCGTCAAACAGTATAACAAAGCAGAAGTTTCCCGCATTTTCGAGGAAATCAAGGTAAAGTGGCCAGGAGCTGTGATCCGTGATGCTATCAACAATATCGCACATAGAATCTCGAGACCATTCCTGCAACTGACCCAGCAGATTACAGGCAAGTGTTCCGCCGCTCCTGGTGCCGTTGCTTCGTTAAGTGGCCTGCCCTTCGCGTTGGGCTAATAATGTTTTTGGCCGATTGGGCATATGAAAAAAAAAAAAAAAACCAACAGACGAATCGGCTCAGACAAATATTCTGGGTGGCTTTGTGTGTAATTCTATCGTTCCGCGAGTACTTACGCCATTAACGAGCTAGGATACCCCAAGGCGTATTGATATTTGCGTGAGCGCCTGAACATTTTCTGCTCTCCGACATTCCCCCAGACTCAATGGTTAAATTCATAGTTCTGCTACAGCCGCATGGAGAGCCCTTCTGGCGTTTGCTGCACTTTCTGCAGAAAAACATTGTGTTCGATCGCTGTCACGAAGCCTGGATAAAAAAATTTGGGAATGATAACATTCATGTAGTTAATTGCGAGTCTAGATTTGACAGTTCAAGACAAAATGTACTCAGTAGTGGAAGATGCAGAAAGCGTTTGGTACTCCGGAGTGGGACACGAATCCAGATATCGTTTTGAACCCAGCAGATGTCACCGTGTATTGACCTCTGGACACAGCTCACGGTCCCATTGATATCTTTCCCCTCAGCATGGACATGGGAGACTGGTACATCATATCGCACAGGCCCGGAAAGAAAATTGTCGTCTCCGGGCTTTCTAAGTATATTGAAGGCAGTGACGATTTCACCACGCTCCACAAACGTCATAAGTAAATCTCGTAGCGGGATTGACTTATAGAGGTGATAGATTTTGAGTGGACATTCCACGGGATGGTTGGGACCACACTGTACACACCATCAAGGACGTTCCAACCATGTCAGCGTTCTCTGCGACCTGATTAATTTCTCGTAGGTGGTGCATGCAGGATCTCCTCGAACCAAATAACGCCTGGACATAAAAGACCACCGCAGAGATTACAGTGTGGCGGGTTCTCTAACGATACCCCTTTCACCAGGCTTGATGCATGGCCAAGTGCGGGACGGAGAAGATCAGCGTCGTTATGTTCGCGATGACCACATGAGGTGCAGAGTGTGTCTAGCACAAAGAGTTTGGTGGATGGTGTGACATAACTTCTCTATACGCGAGACCATGGACGTTCTGGGTGACAGTAGTATATCGCATACAATTCGTGCAAAAAATAACGGAATTGAGGCACGGAATCGAATTTGAATAAGGAGTGGACCTCAGGACCGATGAACAATGTAGGCCGGGGCAGACAAACCCGATATGACAAAGGGAGCCCAATTTCTTAAAAAGTCTCACGGGTCGGAGCGCGCGAATGTGTAGAAAGCACATAGGAACGTGCGACACCTATCACGGTGTAGTGGCTCGAGCTAGTTGTGGGAGCGGTGATGAGAAGGGGTAGATTATTAAGTATGGAGGGCTGTAAAATAAAGGGTAAATGAAATAATTAAACGAAGGGATCGAGTAAAGTTCACATGCGAGGAGGTCATGGTCCGGTTATGACAGAAGGTGTGTACGGAGTTGTCGGCCCGTGTCCTGAATGTATGAGTGGTCGCACTGCCACGACACATCGGGGCCGCGAGGCAATAAACCTGAACCACCACCACCACTGACATAGAGGCTGGAGCCTTATCCATCGCGAGGATGCCACCAGAGAAATGCGGATGGTTTCTCACTCCGGGAACTGGCCCATTTCATCTCTCTTTTGATCCGCCAAAGGACTTCATTGCATCGGAGGACCGGAAGCTGTCCATTCCCAGATATCGTGAGGCTCTCTGCCTTCTGCATGCCCTCCACGTGAGACACGGGGTTGTGGGCCATGCCATTGTTACCTTGCACCGTAAGTCTGTCAACGGCGAAGATCATGTGGTGAAGACGTTAGCCTGGCTAGACAGATTTCATGCAGAGCGCTATAGAGAGGTTTTGGAGTTCATTGAGTACAAAGGGGTTGACAATCTACTGAAGGCATTGCACAAAAAGTATTTCATTGTGGGAGACGATGAGCTCTCTGTGCATGGATTACTCCACCGACCTTTACAATCCGAGACCGATATCACGACGCTCAGGAATATGAAGCATCACTCCCTCGCTGACCGTGTCTTATCTTGCATGCCAATTACCAATAGAGTTGGGGTTTCTATCTGGGAGGAAACATCACTTGTGCGGATTTTTGATGCATTGGTGGAAATCGTCAAGCGTAAGTGACCCAGTGTCAGTGGTTACTTTTCAATACCCAGTCCTCACCCAATTTCCCAGAAATTGAATGCATGGAGGATATAGGCTTATACCACGGGGATGTCAGTGAAGGGAACATTTTTACTGGCACTCGTGATGGAAAGAACAAGGCATGGTTGGGCGATCTTGAATTTGAGTGTGTTGACAGATTGGACGGAGACAATACTGAGAAAGCCAAGCTATCTGTATGTCGTTCCAGACTTTTGGTCTTGTGCACTTTATAATCCTCTGGATCAGGGCACATCCTCCTTCATGTCGGAAGCAGTACTCGTTGCAATTTATTCGGGGCAGACACACTCACAATCTGGTGTAGATGATTTAGAGTCTCTGATGTGGGTACTGCTCTGGTTCTTCTATCACACCTGTCCACATGAGAACGAATGGGGATGGACTCGCCTTCTGTACAACATGAATTTTGTCTCCCACACTTCTCCGCCTCCTCCCATGGAGGCCAATGGAAAGTGCTTCAAGTTGAGACCGGTATCGGTGCGGGGGCAAGATCCATTGTACTTCTTTCTTGGCGATGCTTATTTAGCAAGCCTTATGAAATCTACAACCAAGCAAGTGTACCACCTGCCACCGGGGGGCTAAAATGGGCCCCAGGCACTCTTGTCACTCTATTCCAGGATATCTGGGGTCTTGAGGGCTGGAAACGCCTTCAACCAGCTCTCATGTACTGGGAAGACCCTCCATCAAAGCATATGAATGATCAAGAAAGGCTGGAAGAGTTCAGAGCACTTGCATCTGGTGTAAAAAAAAGACTGCATACCGCTAGTGCAGACGCATCTCAGTTCTATCCAAGTAATAAGGTTCTTCCTGGGCAACAAAGTCCACGTAGTTGTCATATCTGGTGTTAATCATTCTAATGCCATGTTCCGAAACATCCTCCCGTCCCCAGTGACATTCTTCCATATTCGTACCCCATTGTCATCATTTGGGGACATGTGTACAACAACAAAATTTGCTTTTGGACTAGGCTACTACTGTTATGATGGTTCCCCTCAAACTGAATGGCAGTGTCTTCGGCGTTTCAGTGCAAGGACAATGAGATTAGTATATGCAAGGAGTGCTGTCAGTATCTACACATATGATTGTTGTGGTTTCAAATAAGGTCTTTGGCTCGATCACCATGCAAGCTCTCTGTTTTCTGAGGAACCACGTCTCTCTGATTTCCGCCACTGGATTTTATGGTGAGCGTTGACTGATATGGAGTGATTTGCGCGAAAAGTGGCATAGGATTAAGTATCTTGTTTGAAGCGCCGTGCAATCGTGGGCAGTGGGAGTTTGGCAAGATTAGGCGAAGAGTAATGCGTGGCTTCGCCATCTCTTTACCTGCACCACCTTGCTGAAGCAAATGCAGCTGGAAGGACATGATGACGTCGCTACCAAAAGTCTACTTAGGATGGAATTGACATCATTGCCAGCTTTAGATATCAAATGCCACTGAGCCGGGCACATAACCATCCACCAAGACCATGGATATCGACAGTATCACCAACTCTTTTAGAGTGTAACCACCTTCTGCCACTTAATCTAGAAAACCGTTCTCCTATCCCAAACAGCAATGGGCTACATGGACATTCTATCTGAAGAGCGTCGTCTCTGATTGATTATTCCGAATGGACCTCAAGAATTGAAGCCTTCGGTATAAAGAGTGATCATAGATGCGGGGATAAGGTGTAGGGATGGAAGTGGTCAGTCAGCAGAAATAATTTGCATGATTCCAAGATCAAAACAAGGGCCCCAGATGACTCCTATGTCATTCACTTTCAAGAGCGATGCAAAGCAGACGGCAATGGGTCTGTGAAGTTTCGAAAGGATTTGGCTGACATTGGGTGACTCTTCTTGTGCGGATTTGCCGAAGAAGCATGAGAGCATTGGGTTGAATAGGGTGAAGGGAAGGAGGGTTGAAGCACAGAGGTTCGTTACGAGTGGATGGCAGAAGGCAAAAGAGTTGGGAGATAGTTTGGTGCGCAGTGCCAAGACGATTGAGACACAGGTGCGAGAACATCCCGTCCCACCCCAACCATTTACAAAACACGCTGCCCAGACACATGCGACCTGATGCACAGATGAATTTGAAATGGTTTTAATGTTTAAGGACCCATTCCCAAGTTCCATGGAGTAAAAGGGGGAAGATACGAATAACCCTACATATGTTTCCAATGCCAGCACCTCAAAGCAGAACGGTGATCTAAAAAAGAAAGAAAAAATCAGTTATAGTTATACTCAGGGAAGACCAGTAATGACGGCGATGAGACATTCAGTGGAGTCCTTAAATGCTGTAGCAAATCAGTCGCCATCGTTTTTGCCTGCTTTCCCTTATGAGTGTCCAGAGGTGGGGCACTTGATAAGAATTGTGAAAGGGTGAAGGGAGGATAAGAAAAAAGTAGAACAAGACCATTACGGAAAACGGCATAGTGAGGTGCACTAGGATGGCAGTGGGAAGAGACACGAGGGCAGAGGAAAAGGCCAGGAAATGGATAGATCACATCATTATTGGTTGAGCTCCTTGGACTGAAGTGAGTTTTGTGTGTACCTCAGTAAGAACCGGTGTTGCATTAACGGACCGTGGCTCAACCGCTCTGGGACCTTTCAATATTCAGGCTCAATTTCCAGGCATTGTGAGTACAAAACCCATGCGTGAGTAGGGATGCCACATGGAGACATGCATGGGTTGAACGTGTAAGGGGCAGGTTCCCTGTGCACACTGACACTTGGTGAATTAACAGAGATATGGAATAGAGCATCACAACGAAACTGCGCTGGAGTATCTCAGCCAAAGTGAGCACGATCGTATGGTTGTGTGTCGGCTGGAGTCAAGCCTAGATGTTGATGAGCACCGTAAGGATTGGACCTGGAATATTGACATGGTGATTGACATGGGTATTAGGGGGAGTGTTAAATAAGATGAATTTCGGGCTCAGTGTATAGCTGGGAAACGAATGCTAATTGCTGCATTTAAAAGATGCCAGAATTTGGTGAAAGAGCCTGCTAACTTGCGAGGGAATGTAATTTCTGCGTCAGAGTTCGCTGAGCACATTGCGATGGATTACTTACCACACTTGCTGCCCTACACAGCCCTGCTCTGGATATGGTTTGGGTTTCATTTGGATGAAGAAGGACGAGTGTTCTCAGATCGGACTTATCTGTTATTTTTACTTTATTTGCGTGTATTTTTCTTGAGACCCCTGCCCTTGGCATAGTCAAGGTTCCGGTTGTGTCTACTGAATAGAGGTCAGGTTTATCCCACGCTCTCAGGGACATTGTCTATTCAAAAGGCTAAAAGTAGGGTGTCACATGATATAAATGGGTAATAAGTGTTTGTCATCCAGACTGATTACCAAAAACAGGGCATCACCTGATGTAATCTAGTAATATGTATTTGTCATACAAGTAGATTACCAAAGATAGAACATCACGCGATGGTATTGGGTAATAAGGGTTTGTCACCCAATAGATTACCATTTTAATCATAGCAATCTCCCACCAGCAACATGATTGGGCGTGATTTCTCTTAATGGAGGTCATTGGAACTTTGAGACTCTCTGATGTTGAGAAGATCACAAGATTACGTCTGATACTATCTAATGTACAAGTGGGGTCATGGCAATGGATGACAGAAATCATACAGAACTGGTTTGGGTTTGAAGCACCCCATGGCTGGCAGGTTACAAACTCACTTAGCTATATGGAGGGACAGATGTGTTTTTGACTTCAAGAACTGGAAGTGGAAAGACAATGTTAATGCTTGCTTCTATGCTTGCACGCAAGGTCATGAATGGCTGCCACATTGCAATAGTAATTTATCCAACTCGTTCACTGATGGATGACCAAGTATGTAGGCCAAGTGTGCTTATTCCCAAGCAGAGGTACTCACTTCCCCATGGCTTGAATAGCAAGTCAAAGCACAATCTAAAGGAATACGGTTTATTACAATACATCAGGAATTGATCACCGCTGGTTTACATGAGGACCCACCCTGAAACCTCTGGACCGAGGCTCTATCTGGCCACTTTGACATTGTTGCCTGCGCACTGGAAAGGATTGGCACTGCTGAATTCAAATGGATGATTAACTCCCACCTTTTCACGGAGAAATTAGGGTTTTGTGTCATTGATGAGGCACATCTTGTCATACCTTGGTCACAGTCCTTCTGAGAGTCATACAGCACTCTCATCACTCTCTGATCCCTTCTCCCATCCTATGTAACATTCCTCATGATGTTGGGTTCAATGAACCCTCAGACTACACATAAGGCCACTGTCAGAACCATGGGAAGCTTCGCCGATGGTAGCTGTAGGTGACTGAACGTTGCCCGCTAGTGGTACAGGCATCCTACACACGACCAAGCTTTAGCGAGGGATAACCCCACCGATCTCGAGGCTGAGGCTACTTAGGCGAGTGAGCCGGGATTTCGGCTTCAACAACTCGAGGAGGAGCGTTGCACCTTGTTCTCAATGTGGTCCCGATACTTCAGAAGGTCGGAGGTCTTACGGGGAACAGAAGTAAGCTTAGGGGTGAATTTCTAGTTGATTTCAAACTACAGTACAAGCATTAGTTACAAGCTGTATATAAGCGCTAGGGAACTGAATAGGGAATAAGTCGCCAGATCTCGTGGAGATTGCGGGCAGAGAAAAGAAGGAGCAAAACAAACAAGAAGCACGTGTTCAAGACAGCGAAGGTCAAACATGACCTTCGCCGCGAGATAACAAGGTGCGGTGAAACATGGGACAACAGGTCGCAGCACACTGCACCGCTAGGTCATCCAACAACAATTAGGAGAGGGGTTGTGGAGAGGTGGCGGGAAGGGGTGAGATGGCGACGGGCAGCGAGCGGAGTGTGCGGGGAGTGTTCAGGCATGGGAGAAGGTTGGGGAGGAGGTCGTCTGACCCTGGGGAACACCAGGTTGTGACAGCCACACAGAACCGGTTAGGCTTCCAGCCCAACCTTTTTTGGGATGTGTCACTTCCTGTTATGGAAATGGGAAATTCCCATTTTTAGCCTCTTATGGCCTCTGTACAGTATATTATCACGTGACATGTATATAATAACAACCTAACCAACAATTACTACCCAAAAACCCGATGTCAATGTTACTGTAAACACCTTTGTTACAACACCTGTTACATTAATTGTAACATCTTCTCAATGTCACGGCCCCCTCCTGCACCTGAACGCTATAGAAATGGGCCAATTAGGCCCCATTTTTATAACACTTCCGATTGATCACAAAGACCTAGTCTATAGTGCTTGCATCTTGAAACACTCAATTACGGGAAGTGACTTCCCAGATCTGGCATGGCTCATCCCGGATAACCTGAGAACTCCTGAATCCATCATGCCAACACTCATAGCGGTGGAAACAGTGGCTATTGTGAATGCATTAGTCAAATGGCTGTGAAAGAAACTCAAGGGACTCCTTACAAATGGGGACAATTTGATTTTCCCATTCCATTCAATCATACCCCAAGAGGACCATCTGACAACACTCCAGGAGCTCGAGGCTGGGACAGTGCAAATGGTGGTTGCAACAACAGCAGCCCAGGTTGGGCTAGACATGGCAATACGAGATGTTGTGATCTTGGATCTTCCCAATGACTTTGAGGCTATGACTCAATGGAATGGTCGTGTGGGTCAGG